AGATTTGGTGTCACAGAACCATGAACTGTGGCGTGAACTTTGGAGTTCGGTGATCTGTGGCTTGCTAAAGAATACAGAAGTGAGCCGGAAGATTTCTGGATTTTTTTTTAAGGGTTTTTTTTTTGAGACTTGACAGATTTAAAAGAGCATTACTTGTGTTCCACAACACCATAGCAAAGTGGGTAAATATTGTCATCTCTTTTTGAGTTTTAAAAATCTAGCTGTCTGTTGTGCATTACCTGAAGATTTGCTCTTCATTTTCTCTGATGTGCTACGTATTCTTGGAAATCTCACAAAAAATCTATACCATCTCTCTTAATGGATTCATTGTGAAGCTGAAGGAAATACATATTGTGTAATTAAAATTCAAACTTAAAACTGCTGCATTCGCAGGTGCTCTAAAAAGGTACAAGCACTGTTCACTTCAGAACTGGAACTTTGTAGAGTAACAACAGTTTTCAGTGGCTTCTTCAGAAAGTGACTTTTGTTCTTGCAGTTGATGTTCTGAGATCTTGAGCACCCTTATAGGAAAAAGTATTAAACGTTGTCTGGCTAAGATACTTAGTCTGTATAAATTGAAGAGCAATTGTATAGGAATTGAGTACCATCTGTTTCTATTTCTGTATATTAGTGAGTTTTGGCAAAGAGGGCCTGTATCACTGAATGGATATTCCTTGATGTGTGTACATCAGAATAAACTTGCAATGTTAAGCTACAAAATAGGCAGTCTTTACTGCATGTGTTCTGCAATGACGTATTTGTCCAGTATTCTAGTGAAACACTAGAATTGGTCTATGAATTGGTCTGTTTCTTGTGAAACACTAGAATATATATTGTATTTCATGGTTTAGTTTGTCTTACTTGAAATGTGAGGATAATTGCTATTTTTAGGAACTATTCTGCTATACAGTCATAGTTCTTCTCAAAGAATAGCTCATGGAGCTATCTTGATATCCCAGGGATCCTCAGATTGCACTTGTGTTCTTGCAGAAAATACTACAGCTATCCTGACATTTTTATACTCTTGTGTGCTGTTAAAGAAATTTGATGGATTTTAGATTTGACTAACCTAGATGGGTAAGTCTGTGATCCTCTTATCTGTTCCAGGTTACATGTCTCCACACCCATCTCCACTAGGAGCACCAGAACATGTGTCCAGTCCAATGTCTGGAGGAGGTCCAACTCCACCACAGATGACTCCCAGTCAGCCAGGACCCATTATACCAGGAGACCCACAAGTTATGAACCAACCTAACAGAGGTCCTTCCCCTTTCAGCCCTATGCAGCTTCATCAGCTACGGGCTCAGATTCTAGCATACAAAATGTTAGCTAGAGGTCAGCCTTTACCAGAAAACCTAAAAAAAAGAGACCCCTGCCTGGCATTCAACAGCAGCAGCCTCCCAGTGCCTTCAACAGACAGTCTGGTAAGTGAATCTAGGCCTTCTGTCATTCTTTAGTGCAGGTAGGTCTTGAAGTTCTACCTGTGGAAAACAAGGAAGCAGATGCTTTGCAGGGTTGTAATTTGGGGCTGTCTTCTGGCGTCTCAGTGAACAGCAGTCTTTGGTTTTAAGCTTGAGCAAGTACATGAAACATCTATTATTAACAGGATGTTGTCAAAACTGAAATAAAGGTAGTTCCTTGCATAGTACTTTGTCTGTCCTGTTTATGCTTGACATTTTTTGAATGTTAATCATTCTTTACTGATGGCAATTTTACTGCTTTTTTAGAGTGAATTTTCATACTCTATCACTCTGCAGAAAAGCAGATAAAAAAGTCTTGAGTAAGTGGACTGATTGTTTAGGTCGTTGAGAGTAAAACAAACCATGTATAGTGTACTATCAAGTGAAAAACATATGGAAAAGAAAATGTTTTTTTTCTCGTAATGATAATAGATATTACAGTGCCGTACATAAGCACATTTTGATCCTAAGAAAACTGTGTTACATTCAATGCCCTTCACCAGTTAGTTCCTGAACACTTCTATTACTGAGTTTGCATTAAATATTGAGGGTTGAGATGATACTGTTCTCTTTTTAGTAATGATTTTAATGATTTCACTGGTCGCTTCATTTTGGTAGATATAGCTCTGCTACCCAGTTAAGTTTTTTTTAAGAAATGTGATTTTAATATGCTTCATTACATATATTTTTTCACAATAAAATCTATTTCAATTCATATTTAATGATGATAAGAACTACTTGCCTGAATAAACTATCATGCTAAAAACAGAATGGTTTTTTTTAGTGTTGGAAATATTTTGTATCTTAGTAAGTTTGTTTCCTCCGTCAAATTGCAGGTATTGGGTTACATACAATGAGTGGTACTGCAGCTGGGCCAGGACCTGCTCCAGGAATGCCTGGACATACAGCTGCTATTACCCCTAAAACTTGGACTGAAGGTATAGTACAGGATAATGCTCATTTTATGTCATGTACCGAGTTATGATTAAACAGCGTGGGTAGATTTTGGCTGAAACATGCAGAGGAAGAAGAAAGGGAAGGTAAAAAGACATACAGAAAAATAGCATAATCTTGACTTGTATCAAGGAGAATCTAAACATTTATTCATCCTTTAATGACTTGACCACATAAAATTACTGCAGGTGTTGGGCAGCCTGAACATGAAGCACCTTTGTACAAACAGAATGAAATACATAAACTGCGTGAGGGACACACATAAAATGTACTTAGTAAGTTCTGAACTTGCTTAGTTGCAGCAAGCTCATCTTTCAACTACAGTCTTTGCTACTGTAAACAAAAGTTTTCAAACTGTGGTAGAATTAGACTGCCCTTTTTTTTTTAATTGGTTGGTTTTGAAAGTTCGATAGTCCTTGAGATACAATGAAAGTGTAATTTTTTTTCCCCTACATGATTATAAACTTTTGAACCAAATCATTCAGCTTTGGATTTATTGGCTGATAGTATTGTTTGAAAGTAGAGTGGACTTAATGGATTGAGAAGAATTCAAAATCCCTAGTAATGTATATAGTTTGAAATTTTATTTGTGGGGGTTTTTTTTAGAGAGGTTTAAAAATAAATAAAATATTGCTGATTTGTGGATAACACAGCCTTTTCATACAGTAGAAATGTTGCATTGTGGTTTTGCTTATGGGTAAATCTGGGGACAGTTACGACTCTGTAATAGTTGCTGTCATAAAAAATTCTCTCTCATTAGTCAGCTATTTAGGGCAACATAAAAAAGAAGTGAAATGCTAGTATGTAATCAGATGTAGAATTGCTTTTACTGGAATAATGCCCAATGAATACCTAGAATTCAAGCAGGATAATAAAGAGGGGAAAAGCATTTCTCGAGAGGTTGTATGTATAAGTTTACCAGGCACAGTGCCTTCTAGCTCAACTGCTGCTACTGAAAAATGCTGACAGGTGCATAGCATTGCTAGGGAGATAGTTTTTTCTAAATAATCTAAATATAAGCTGCTTACTTTTTGTCTTTTTTTTTTGTAAGAAAAGAATTGTCTCTCCTTGCTCTATTTGTTTGGAGGTTTTATTTGATGTATTTTTAAAGATGGTGATTATTTCTTTAAATGTGTTTTTCATTCATTACACAGTCATTTGTGGTAGTGTTTGTTTTACAGTTCAGTTTGCAAAATTCCCTGAAAACTGAGACAACACAGATGTTTTTGGTGGGCTTCCTGATTTTTTAATATACTGAAATGTGGTATTGCTGTAATACAGAATCTACAGTTTGTCTTCAAGCTCCTTTTCTGGAGTTTGATGCAAACATGTGAATGACAAATGATCATCTCTGAAGAAATATTTTTGTCTGGATTTTAGGATGTTTGGTCTGAATTATGGTTGATTACAAGATTGCAGGTGTACTTCGTAGTTGTTTTTCATGACATTAAATTACTATGACTCCTCAGACAATTAAGTGTCATCTTTATTGTTACCTTATCTGTTGTCAGTAGCAAGTTTTGAACATCTAAATGCATGGGTGACTTACTGTCTTAATGACACACTGAAATCTATGATCTTTAGTGTCTACAAGTGGCAGGTACTGTTTTCATGTTAACTGAGGTGTTAATTTTCAAGATGATTAGAATGGTGTAAGATAAAACTGTAATCAAATTCCTGGTATTTGAAATACAAAAATACAATTAGTAGAAGATTGTAATGAAACAAAAGCTGTTTATATATATACTTCTTGTGCATTTGTAGAAATTTTAGTATGGCTGTCTAGTTCTGATAGAGCTCTAGAAGCAGACCTACTTGTGCTTGTTGTCAGGTTGTGATTATCAACGCCTTCTAAGTGGTGCAAGGATAGCGAACAAGAGGCAGAATTTGATCCTACACTTGCATGAAATCAGTTCTTCAGCTGTTTTACTTTTTCTAATCCTAGAATTAAAAGTCATCAGGAATGGGAAAGGAAATGGCATTCATCGTAAAGTTTCAGGTGTTTAGATTTTCTTTGAACCACTTCCTGCCATGTGTGGTACACTTCCATCAGTATGGTTTTCTACATATGAAGTGTAGCCTGTTTCAGTGTACTTTTCCTGGTGATTTTTAACATTAACCTTAGATTCACATTCTGTCTTGAGAAACCATCTTGACTTTTTTCCTGCGTTCCATATTTCCTATTATGAGTAAGTACTTTCTATGATTCAGGCCAGGCTCCCGATCTGAGTGTCTCCAGTGCTCAGCAAAAGCTTCCTGCGCCACCCCCGAGCGGACGGCCTTCTCCTGCCCCTGCTGCTGCCCAGCCTGCTGCCACCATGCCTGGGCCCTCTGTGCCACAGCCACCAGCCGGGCAGCCTTCACCCATTGTTCAGCTGCAGCAGAAGCAGAATCGCATCAGCCCTATCCAGAAGCCACAAGGATTGGATCCTGTTGAAATACTCCAAGAACGTGAATACAGGTAAAAGCAAATAACAAGATTCAAATATGCACGTGCAGATTGCTGTTTTTTACGTTCCCAGCTGAAACTCCTTGCAATCATCTACTGTAGCGACAGTAGCATACACTAAGTTTCCAGGTAGAGACCATGTCAAAGAGAAGTACAGAAACATGTCTCCATGTGTTGCCTGATCTAGTCGAGAGGTGGCGTCCCTGGCGGTGGGGAGGCTGGATTAAAATGATCTCTAAGGTCCCTTCCAGCTTAGGCCATTCTGTGATACATGATACATGATACATGATACATGATATATGATCAGGCCAAACAATGATTGAATTCCACCCCAAGTCATGAACTTGAAAGCATACTGGCAATATCCTTGCAAAGCAGGTACAGGCTGAAAGACTTTCCTGGGTTAGTGTGTTACTTGGGTTTTGCAAACACTGAAAGCTAGAAAATCAAAATCCTTGTAGTCTACAGAGAAACCAGTTCAGTGCAGGAAGTTTTTGGAATTATAAACGAAAGGGAGACTTGAGGAGAACTGTGAAGGTCAAAAGAGTGATAAGTGGCCACAGCAAAACCAAATTTTATTAGTGTTGATGGGATTGGCTGGGCTACCAGAATAGAGAGAGAGTATTAAGGAGGTCACAGTCACGATTATCAAAAAAGGTTACCAGGAGGCCTGATCTTTAAAAGGTGCTTCCTGTGTGCCCTAATTAGATGGTGCATTATATTCAGGATGAAATTTCTTTTGGAGTTAGAGAGAGACTTCTCTTTTCCCATGGACAAGGCTATTAAACAGTTAACCCTTATAAACTTCTGGGTACAAGTATCTTGACCTGCACCTGAAATATGCCTCTGATCATTAGCAGTCAGCGGAAAAAAACAGTATATTTTCATGTTTTGGACTGATGATGCATCTTCCAGCTACTGTAACAATGAATTTGTAGGGGAAGGTAGCCAAAAAGGATGGTGAGCTCTCTGAAGGCAGATTTAATGACTTTTGCTTTACAGGGGCAAAACGCTATAGAAAGAATTAGAATTTGGTGCTGTGTCCAGAATCCAGGCCTTGATTCCAGAAAAGCTCTTACTTTTCACCTAATATAATGCATAAGTAATTTATTGTCCTGTTGTAGTCATTCTGCCAGCCTTACCCTTTTTACTTTCAGACAGAATGACCATAGCTTTTGCAGCAGGAACAATCACTGTTTTCTAACATATTTTTTGGAAAGTTTGTAAAACACATCATTGCTCTGAGTGAAGGATTGTTACACTAACCTGAGCCAAGAATCATGTGGCCAATATAATGTAACTTCTTTGAATGATTGGCCTCAGATTATTACTCATCTGTCTTTCTGACCTTGCTCCATTGCACTATATGTGCCAAACTATTATGTCTTAGTATATGTAAACGGAGGAGGGTGAGGAGTGACTGAAAATGGCGGTGTTGCGTTTACTAATGTGGACAACTGGTTGCAGATAGAGCATGTTCATTAGGTTCTAAATACCGTGATCTTCTTAGAAGAGTAAGTGAGGTGGAAGTTTGATAGGCATTCTGCAGCAGGAGGATTTTATTTTTTATGGTAGTGCATAGATAGTGATCCAGGATTTTTTTATGTTGTACATTGCTGTAATTTAGGGGTTTTTTTTGCATATGAGAATGGTTTGGACTTCTGGAAGTCTTTCCTTTATGTAAAACAGTGCAAATAACATCAGCAGAAAGCTTTGAAAAAAGCACCTTAACGGCTTTCTTGCTTTGGACAGTGCTAGACTTAGCTTTAACATAGGCAACTTTAATACACAAACATGGCGTATTCACACTTTATTCATAAAAAGGGAGTAGAGAAAAATAAACATTTGTATCCTGAAACCAGTGAAACTGGTGAAAGCTTTATGAAATGGTGGTCTCTTGAGGTCTCTCAGTAGTTAACTTTTTTAATAAAGCAGCACTACATTTTGAAATACTTAGAAAACTGTTTGAATTTCTGATTTACATGAAAAGACAGAATTACCCCGTAGGTAATTTAGGGATTCATATTTCAAACATATAGACAGATCCAAGCAGTGAAATTTTGGTATAGTGCCTTGTTGTGGGAAAATGTGAGCTTTGATTAAATTAGGAATTCTTGGAGATGATATATTAGGTTTACTCAGCGACTGTATGGCTTTGGCTGGAATAGAGTTGAATTTCCTTGTAGTATGGGACTGTGTTTGGGATTAGTGCTGAAAGTAGTGTTGATGAGACACTGATATTTTAGTTCTTACTGAGCAGTGCTTACACCATGTAAAGGCCTTTTCTGTTCCTTACACTGCCCTGCCGGTGTGTAGGCTGGTGCATGAAAAGTGGGAGGGGACACTTGGAAGAGCTGACCCTAACTGACCAAAGGGATATTCCATACCACCATAACGTCTTCATGCTCAGCGGTAAAATTGGGTGGGAGTTTGGCAGGGGCCCACTGCTTGGGGACTGACTGAGCATCGTACTGGTGGCGGTAAGCAATTGTTTTCATTTGCGTTGATTGTCTTTCTTGGGTTTTGTTTTTGTCTGTTGTTACTTTTTTTTCTCTCTTTTGCCTATTTTTTTAAAAAAATTACTATTTCTTCTGATTCTATCTCAATGCATGAGTTTCCTTCTCACTTCTGCCCCTTCTGATTCCACACTAATCCCACCGAGGGTGACATGAGAGTGAGAGAGCAGCTGTGTGGTACTTAGTTGCTGGCCAGGGCTACACCACAACAGTGACTGTGAAAATGATGTTTCTGGGAGAAGTGTGCTGCTGGGGAGACAGAGATTTAGTTCATGAGCTACTTGATCGGAAGTTAGTTGCTGAGGTGTTTGAACCTTTCTCTTGTAACACACCTCTCAAGTACATAATGGCAGACTTTTTGGGGAAGATACATACTACTGCGTACATATTTCCATTTCCTTGTGGATTGTGTACATGTATGTATTGGAGATGTCTTACATACAGAACAGTATTGTAAAAGTGAAATATTCTTGGTTTTATAAAATGACATCTACTTTTTTTTCAGTGATAGAAATTATTTTTTCTTTTACTAGGTCGTTAGGTAGATAGGCGCTTAGAAGGACAGTATAGTGTTCCTATTCATTAACCACATGTTAAATAGGGCAGTACAGATAGAGAAGCAGTAGTGCACCTATTAATGTATCTGAAAAAGCTTTGAATCTGATGAAACGTCAGCAGACTGGTTTTTTCTCTCTAAAAAGCCTTGACTGGATTATAAAAAAGGCTCCAGCATATATTAACAAAGAGAAAAAATGAAGAGTTAGTGTTGCTGTTGAATTCACATGGTTATGCCAAGAAGTTATTTGCAGCATACGTTGATTTGAGATGAGATTATATGATAATTGTTCTTAATCTCTGTGTGACTGAAGGTGGATAAAAAGAAACTTAGATGTTTAAAATTCTTAGCAATGTAAGAAGATTAAATTATTCATATGTGGAGAGATGCTAAACTTGTGTTCCCTGAAATCTGGCCAAATTAATACCATGCTTTTGTAAAACTGTCCTTAACACTTCAAAATAAAGTGCTGCTTTTTAATCTGCCTGAGTAGATCTACTAAAGCTAATAAGCTGTGTAATTCAAAGTTATTCTGTTACATAAAGTGTCTTTTTTCCACCTTCTCATTGCTAATTAAAAAAAATACACTTGCTAGTGTCGTGTAGATGGTTTGTGTTTTCCTCTTGGTGACTGCAAAGTCTCTTCTTAGGAATCTTCATGGCTTACTGCATGGCATCCACATCAGGCAGCTGTGAATGTGCAAGCATAACCTCTGCTATTGACCCCAGTTAATGAGGAAGATGTGGACATCACTTGTTTTACAGAAAGATCTCTGTGTAGATACACTATCACTTCTGCGTGGATGAAGATAAATTGCTAAACTGCAAAGATTAATTAAAAATATCCTTTAAACAGGGAGATTATATCCTTGAAGTGCTTGAAAAAGCATCTAAGAAACCTTTTTCTTTGGATTCTGTTTATCTAATAGCTGTTAGTGTTTTTCCATGAAGATAGCAATAGTCTAGCTAACTAGTTCTTCTCTTTGAACACTAGAAGCTAGCTCTCGTGAGAAACGCCTCAAGTAGTTGTTGCATTTGAGTTGGAATGTCTGTCATGAAATTCCTTTAAAAATCCTTCTGATTACTTAAGAAAATACTACTACTATCACTACTACTGTTACTACGCTAGACGCTCTAATTAGTACTTAAGGGAAAGTCTGGGATAAAACTTGAAAATGTGTTCCTTTTTTTATTTTATATATAAACCACCTGGCTGACATTTTTCATTATTTTTCCATATGTATGCTGTAGATTTTCATTAATATTTAAACTGTTTTGACCAGTTATTTTGTTATTTTAGTAGACAACAGACATGAGTTTCGATGAGAGTTTTCTAAGATAGTATCTGTACTGACTTAGAAATATATGTTTTCTTTTTCTATTCTGTCCCTCCAGCTGGACTGTAAAAGGACGGTAATCACCCACAAAAGCATAGAACTGTCATTGTTCGTAGTTCAGTCCAGAGCTCTATTTTTGTGTCATTTCAACATATAGAGGCAAAAAATAGGAGGAAAAGTTATCCTGGGAATAATAATCTGCCTTAGAATTTAATGATAAAATGTCATATGTATTTATTTTTGATTAACCTTTTTGTGAATCCAAGTTGAGAAGAACAAAGAAAATTATTAACAGTTCATAAACATGCTCAATAAGCTTGCATTATTTTTAGTTACATCCCAATAAGTTTATATATTTGGATTTTTATTAATAATTTATATGACAGAAATATAAACCCCAGCCCAACTTTGACGGTTGCTTGTGTTTCTACTGTGTAAACTTTTACATCAGCAGGCACTTTCACCTATTTAACCTGGAGTTAAAGTAACAAAACTAGTAAATGAACATTTCACTTCGTGTTTGTTTGTGAAGTGTCTCATCCATTTAGTCACCTAAACCCATAGACTTTGTTAGGTAGAACCTAGATTAACTTTTTGTGCTCAGTCTCTTGTATAGTACAAGAAGGAACTCTCAATACTAACAAAAAAAGGAAAAATAATGGATAGATGTTGAGTATCCAGCTGCCTTACTAAATTCACAGCTTGAAAGACAAGTTTGGAAAGGTTGTGACTGCTACTGTAAAGTTTCATTGAAGTCAGTGGAACTGGGATTTGGCTATAAATGTTTTGTTGGTAATGATTTCAGGAGAATCATTTCAGCTATTTGGAGAGTGAAAAGGAGTGGTAAATCATAGCTGTGATGCATGATTACATCCATGTACGAATGAGCAACAGGCAGAGCACCTATCAGTGATTTAGGACAGTGTTCTCTTTCTTCATCTTGGCTGCTTTTTTTGCATTGGTGTACCATAGTACATCTAATCTCCAAGAAAACCACTTAATTCTCAGGATTTTACATCCTTAGCTGCACTAAAATCTCTCCTTGATAACTATAGTGCCCAGTGACAGGTTTTGTTATGCGATATACGGTCTTTTTAGTGTTGAATTATGTCAGTGTCATTTTCTGAACTAACTTTCCTGTGGAAATCATGGACAAATATCTGTATCTTTTAGTTGAGCTGTGTCTTGTTAGGAAGTAACTCATCTTGATTTACTTTCTACTTCGGATGAGAAACTTAAGTAACCTACCTGAGTTTTTGCACTCTTAAGGACACTAACTTAGTCTTCTGCAGTAATGCAGCATTACCTCTTTTCTTTCAGGAACTTCAGAAGTCTTGTGGTAATACATAAAGAATGAATAGTTTTAGGGAGTTTAGGAGTTTTAGGAAGGAATACTATTACAGAAGAGATATTGTCTGCAACTGTACAAGTGATTCCAGTTGCTTTTCAGTTTATACATGTCAGGATGTGTATAGTTACTGTGAGGTACTAGTAGTTTGAAGTGTTTTTATTCTCCTTTCACAGCAATTCCAAAGTCCTCATCGCAGGGCAACAGCAGAAGACACATTTTCCTTACGTGATCTGATGATTCATGCTTTATGCTTTTTGTGAAAGTAAAGGGAAATTTTGTAGGTTTGGTGTTGTACAGGGGGATGAGGATACTGATTCAGTTGAACTTAGATCCAACTTCTGGATAAGCTAAAATTTTGGAGTCTGTTATTTTAGTGCCTTGGCAAAATTTGCAGTTCACGGAAGTACTTACTTTTAAATAAACCCACAAAAACTACATAAATATTAGCTCTGTGATCTTGATTTTCAATGTGAAAACAAAAAAAATAAAAACAAGTTTTGTCTGACTTGTCCATTATTCTCTTTCTCTCTCTCTTAAATTTGCAAATGAATGCAAAATGAGCTTGTAAAAGAAGAGTGAAATAGAATCTAATTTACAGCTATATTAATGAACTTTTCATTTGTCAGTAAATAAGCAAGTAGATCTCCAGATATTGAGGAAAGTGATGGGTATTGTTTTACACTCAGTGTATTCAGTAATGACACAGAGATAGAAGAAGCTTGGAAACAGAATCTTGTAGAGTATGAGTTAAATAAAATTCCCAAGTTTCTTTTCACACATATACTTTTAGTCAAAAGAAGGGCTAAGGACTGTTTTCATTATTTGACAATTTATTTATTTATTCAAAGTGGAGAGGGATACCTCACGTCATCTTTGCAGAAGCCTGTTAGCTGAGGAACAATTAATAAAAGCTGAATAAATGCCTGAGATAAATTGCTTATTTTTAGCGTATAATTTTTATAACCATTTACTGATTTCTCCTGGTGTCTTATCCAATTTTCTATTTGCTTAGGCTTCAGGCTCGAATTGCTCACAGAATCCAGGAACTGGAGAACTTGCCTGGTTCTCTGCCCCCTGATCTGCGAACCAAAGCTACAGTGGAGTTGAAGGCACTTAGGTTACTGAATTTCCAGCGCCAGGTAACACTTTTTGCTTCAGGAAAATTCTCAGAGGTCAACAGCCAAGTATGTTCATGTGGCAAAGAGTAAAGTGGCACGAGATTGTGCAGTAACACTTACCCTAAACAGCACGTTTAGCGTGAGAGCAAACTTGACCAAAAGACAAGTCAGAGAAATGTTTAACTTGGATTTTATCATGCTTTGTTCAAAAAATTAGCAGATATTTTTTTACTTCCTCCTTTATATTTCAGTCTAAAGTGTAACCATACAACTGTGTCATTCATAATCAACATGACGTTGGCACAAAGACAAAACAAGAGCTGGGCAAGCCGCAAGTTGACTTTCAACACAAATCCCAATAGACATCTCTGTCTGGACATACTTCATATATGTCATGGGCCCTGTGTTTTTTGAGGGGTTGTGTGTTGCTGTTGTATGAGGTATTTCTTTGTGACCTGTTTTTAGGATTTCCATTGTGGCACACAGACTTCAAAAATTAAGCATAACAAGATCATACCTAAGTTTTAAGTTGGATGTTGAGTGTGTGTATCAGCAAATGAATTTCAGAAAAAGAGTCACACTGCCGAACTCTTATGGGCCTCTTGCCACTGGCTTTTCAAGCTAGTTTGGAAGAACAACAATGTGATTTGGCAGGTCAAGCAAAAATGCTTCCTGACAGAAGCTTTGGCAGTTGTTGTACCATGATGTCCAAGTCTTCCTTCCCTCTACACTTGGCACTCCTTTCTAAGGAGCTTTTTCAGGGTCGAATGAAAAGCAGGAGGCTCTCCGTGCTATACTACTGAGACTGTGGCAAGAGTGTTCCAAGGCCTTACCATTGACGTCTCCCTGCTGTCTGTTACGCAGCTGGCAGTGAAATGACTTGTCAACAGTGTTCAGCTCCAGTTCTAGAAAGCACGTTATGTATGTTGTTCATTCGTGTTTTGCTTTGATGGTGTAACACCTTGGCTCATACCTGCAGCAGGACAGTCGTTTGCAGCATCTTGTAAAAAAGGAAGAAATTATGAGTAAGAGTGATTAACACTTTAAGCCATCCTGTAGAGACTTAAGATTTGTTTAGAGAGACAGGCATGGTGGCTGCAACTGTATAGGTGGTGGATCTTTTCTGGACTGTAATGGAAGAGGAGTCTGGGACATATTCTGGATTATTGCAGTTTGCCCATGTTCCTTCATGTTTAAAAATGATTTAGTTTCTTAAAGTGTTTCTTTTTTGCCACTGGTAGCTAAGACAAGAGGTGGTAGCCTGCATGCGTCGTGACACAACACTGGAGACAGCACTGAACTCCAAAGCCTACAAAAGAAGCAAGCGCCAGACTTTGAGGGAGGCCCGTATGACAGAAAAGCTTGAAAAACAGCAGAAGATAGAACAGGAGAGGAAGCGTAGGCAGAAGCATCAGGTATTTTAACTTAATAGCTGTTTGACTCATGACTGAAATGCACCCTGCTTTGCTGTGTGGGTCTTCTCTATTACATATTTTAGTTTCCTTTCAAGTTTCTAAGATTAAAAGACTTCAAATAATGTGATAAACATTTGAAAACCATTAAGATTAGAACTTTTGTATTCCTGATTTCAAAACCTGTGCTTTGCTCAACTGTCTGCACTAACTTGTTTCTCTTTCTAGGAATACCTGAACAGCATATTGCAGCATGCTAAAGATTTTAAAGAGTACCACCGGTCAGTCGCTGGGAAAATTCAGAAACTTTCCAAAGCAGTAGCAACTTGGCATGCCAACACTGAGCGTGAGCAGAAAAAAGAAACTGAAAGAATTGAGAAAGAAAGAATGAGGAGACTAATGGTAAGGAGTGGAGGAAAGAATATGGTTATTTTAGCTGAAATTAGATACTGTATCCTTTCAATATTTCATATACAGTCTCAGCCTCAGTTGTGTATTTCCATTGTAGAATAAAGCCTCTGTAACCAAAAAGTATAACTCTAAAACTGCTGCTGTTTGATCATGTGTATGACACTGTTCATTTTAAGCTATAGTTACTTCTTTTGTAATTTTTTTTAATAAGAGTAATTGTTTTTTTCTGCTAGCATGAAGGCTTAGCACAGCCACTTCTGTGTATCATCACTTAATCTCATTAACTTCATACACTAACAGTGTTCCTAATTGCAGGAGTATTGGTCCGTTATATAAATGTTGGACTGTGTTTTATTTCTAGGTTTATAGTTTTGAAGATATCGTCTGATCATAGCATTACTCCATGACTTTTGCATAAAGCTGATTTCACATGTGGAAGTATGTAACGAATGGCAGTAATGGACGTACCTTGAAAATGAATAGCTGTCAGTTCTACCCATTAATACTCCAGGACCATACTCGTTCCTGCTATTTCATGATTTTCCATTACTTGCACCTGCACACCTGATACAGTATCAGTTGCATCGTTCTTAGCAAAGTAGAATGGGTTTGTATATAACCCTGTCTTTTCAGAATGCTGTGGAACCAGTGTGCTGCTGACATTTCAAGAATCAAAATAATTCTGTAGTTTAAAGTGGAGACAGATAATGTGTATGTACAAGTTTATTAGCAACTAGGGTCAGAAAATTTTCTTTGAGACACTGGTTAGCTCTTTTTTAACACTTTGTTAACAATTTAATAGCATAGAATTGAATGGGAATTGATGTACGTCTTTTGAAACATGCTAGTAAAAACCAGTAAGTATCTAATATGGGTGCAGATGCAAAACTCCTTTTTGGAATCTATTCCCACCGTGAGTAAAGACTGAACAGTTTGGTTTTAAATATAGCAAAATGAATTGTAGGAATAATTAAATATAAAAACGATAAAAACTTAGAAATAAAGGTGCATGTAAAATGTAAATGAAGGACTTGCATAAGAGAATAACAAATGTTTAGGCCTTAGAGCGTTTCTTGAATTTGCATACCAATCAACATTATAGAGCTTCTTATAATTGGAGATAATTGCTAGCAGTCTATGTAACCAAGCTCATAAAAATGTTAATTATTAGGAAAAAAAAAATGATAAAAAAAAGATAATTGTGGTATTTTAGGAATATTTTTGTCCATCATGAGATTGAGCTTGTGTCAGTCTAACATATAGTATAATAAAAGATGTCCACTGCTGAAAAATATGAAGTAGATTTGAATCTCTAGAATTCGCACAGCATACCAATGCTTCCAAAATACCAGTGCTTTCTCGTAAGACTCCTTCACCAGGGCTGTAGATAAGCTCTTACTGTAGGTACAGCACTTCATAGGCATTTTCAGTTTGGGACTCTCCACTCAGAGGTCTTTGTCTCTACTGCTTAATTAAAATTTCTGCAAAAGTAAATTATGTGTTAGGTTAGTGGAGTTGACTTACCTATTTGGTTGTAGTCTAGTTGTGATAAATTTTGAACTTGCAGATATGTACTAGGGGTTTATACAAACATTTTCTCCTTTCAGACAGTTGGCATGATCTAGGACAATGTGCTGTGTCTAAAACTCTCTACATATCTCTTCAGGAATGTTGAGTTGAATTCACTCCACAGTTTGTCCTTCATTGACTATGATTAAAAATGGTAGTTGTGTCACAGTTCATTAATAGTAGTACGTATCACATGCAGGAATGGGCACTGGTGTGATTAAAAAAGATACTGTCAAGACAAGCTTGAGTGTATAAAGGAAGTATCTTGGCTAGATTACGATTGTGTATTCAGTAATGATAATGTTGATAATAATAACAATAATATTATAATATAGGAACTTAGGTTTTGAGTGTTGTAGTTCTGATGATTTGAACATTACAACTGAATTTTACAATTTTTCAAGCTCAGTTTGAACATTACAGCTGTTTTTGCCAGCTTTTTGCAGTTCTGGTGTTTCTCCAGAAGGACAAGAGATTATTTTTTTTTAATCTCACAGAGAGATTATTTTAAAGTAATCATCTTCAAAATATTTCTTACTCATATTTGGTTTTTACAAGGCATTGCGTGTTTCCTTGGCAAGGCCATTTATGCTGCTTTCCTTTTTTTTTCTTTTTTTTTTTTTTTTTTTTTTTTTTATTCTGAAATGCTCAAATGCTGCATTTGTATGGTGTTTCTTTGGAATTATTTCTGTCATGGCTGATGTCTGTTTTGTGCTGCTAGGCTGAAGATGAAGAAGGTTATCGTAAGCTAATTGACCAAAAGAAAGATAGACGCCTGGCCTACCTGTTGCAGCAGACTGATGAGTATGTAGCTAACTTGACTAACCTGGTCTGGGAGCATAAACAGGCACAAGCAGCCAAAGAGAAGAAGAAGAGAAGAAGAAGAAAGAAGGCAAGTAGTGTTACAGCTGATATTTTTAAGTCATCTTTTCCTCCAATACAGCTTTAATATTGGTAAATGTGGTGATACCCAATTGTCATACACATAGCAGAGGATCTAAAATCGTTTACATTGCCAGATTATTAGCACTAAGGGAACTTAGCTCTCTCCACTGAAATACATAAGAAACTTCCTATCATTAATTCTAAAGAAGATGAGAAGGACACAGGATTAGAAAATTGTGGGCTGTTAACATTGACTTTCTGATATAGTTTCTACCAACAACGTTAGGTCAGGTATGTAAAAAGATCCAATCCATCCAAAATAGATTGTATGAATAAAATAGGAAAAGACTGGTTTGTGTAGCTCTTTCATACAGGGTGACTTCTTTAAACCTCCACATTATACACTTGGCTCAGTCCATTTTCTAAGACCATTGGAAGCAACAAAAAAGAAAGAACCTGAGTACATATATTTTAGTAATTGTGCTTTCTCTCAGTAGTATTGCTCGATGTGCATTCTTAACATTTAATTGAAGCTTTTAAAAATTACCTTTATTCATGTGGAATATTTTACCCTGTGAAAGAGGCTTCTGGAAACTGAATAGTGGTATTTGAACAAATAATTCCATGTGTGAAATAATCATTAAGTAATGGTTTGTCATTTTTGTGACCTCTGAGTACCTTTCATCTCTTGCAGGATGGATAAGAGGATTTTTATAATCCCATTTCCATGCCTGGCTTGCTACTAATTGCTAACAAATATAAACGTAATATTTACAGGGTTTACAAGCAGCATTCTGAATATGCTAATAAATAGCAGCATATAAAAACTCCTAATTTTCAAAATTGTAATTTTGGAGATAATTGTCTAAAAAAATACTCTACGTTATTTCTTGTCGCTCTCCGAGACCTTTGTAATTTTTGTGGAGAGTATATTTTTAACATAATAACAATCCCCAACCTACAAAGTTAAGACATAACTAAACAGCGTTCTTGACTTGTGTTACTGGTGAGAGCAGACCTGATTTAATGTACAGAATTCACAGTAGAGCTAATCCTTAATGAGAGAGTGTGGGGACTAAGTGCACCGCCCTAGTGAAAAATACAAATTCCTTCAACAATTCACATCTGTGATATGACTCAATTCCTATGTCAGTTTAGCTGAAGTAGATATGAGGATCAGAGTGTCTTCTGGCCATGTCGATAAAGACATCATTTTCTGTCACTGAAGTAAAAAGGAAATAAGCCCCATAAATATTCAGTGCTTATAAATATCCCAGCCTAAAACCTAATGGAAGATTAGTAGGAAAAAACTTCAGTTCTCCCTTGGTCATCTGCAGCTTATTGTTTGTAATTAAGTTCTTCCCACCAAACTTTTGCTCGTCTGTCAGGAGTACAGGAGTGCACACAAATATCCTTTGTTTTAATTTATAATTCTATGAATTTGTTATTGCATGGCTAAAACAGTCATTTAAGTTAGTAGGCACTGTGCCTTTCTCCTAATGCTTACCCTTTTATATCAATATGACAATAATAAGAGACGAAAGATTGATCTGGGAAATTAGAGGCCTGTCAGTTTGACTTCAGTGCCAGGGAAGCTGATCCTTCCCAGGACAACCAGGTGATCAGACCCAGTCAGCATGGGTTTATAAATGGAAAGTCCTGTTTAACAAACCTGATCTTGTTCTATAATGGGGTGACCTGCTTGTTGGATGAAGGAAAGGCTGTGGATGCCATCTACCTTGACCTTAGTAAGGCATTTGACACTGTTGCCCACAGCATTCTCCTGGAGAAACTGACTGCTCTTGGCTTAGATGGGAACACACTTCGCTGGGTGAAAAACTGGTTGGATGGCCGACTCCAAAGAATCGTGGTCAATGGAGTTAAATTCAGCTGGTGGCCGGTCATGAGTGATGTCTCCCAGGGCTCAGTACTGGGCCCAGTCCTTTTTAACATTTTCATCAGTGATTTGGATGAGGGAATAGAGTGCACTCTTAGTGAGTTTGCAGACGACACCACGGTGGGTGGAATTGTCAATTTGCTTGACGGTAGGATGGTGATCTACAGAGGGGTCTGGACAGGCTGGATTGCTGGGCCAAGGCCAATCACGTGAGTTTCAGCAAGGCCAAATGCCGAGTCCTGCATTTCAGC